ATACCTCTGCATTCTCTGCTGCTGCTAGGATGGCGTCAAGATCATATGTGCCTCGCTTCAAGGGAGGCAGCTCCTACAAGTGACGGAGGATCAGATTAGCGACTATGAAGGAACAGGTATTCATCCTGGTGACAGCAATGCGGCATGCGGCTGCTTACAGGTGAGTCTTCAGGATCCATGGCCAAGAAAGCGAGTGAGGGGTAAGAGCGAAGAGTAGATGTGGATGAATGGACGCAAGAAAAAGCGAGGCAGGCACACAAGTAGGCACGCAGAACGATGACCACGTCCCCCTCCCTTTCTCCGCACTAGAAAGGTCTAGTACGTTTGATATCCTATCGTCACGCACTTGAGCAAACGAGAGGAGAAAGGGAAAAGGACATTATTGACCCTCGTTCCTTCCTTCCTCAACAGCGTCTGTCGATGACAAGTTATCGTGTCCTCTACCAGCATATTCGCATAGGAATAGACGAGGAGGAGGATGCATACTGAATAATGGACATGGCTACAAACATAATAAACCTCGTGAGAAAGTGGGCCGCCTGGCAGTCTGTGCCGTATTCTTCCTTTTGTCTCCTCATGTTCCCATCTCCTCACATAAAAACTGCTCATCGTCATCGTTGCTCTAGGGATCCTTAGTCCTTTTAGCATAGAGCCAGTTCTAGCTATAGAAACTAGCGAGTCTCAATCGATGCTGACCGATCAGATCTCTGGTTAAGAAGGCGATGCCCACAGCATTCAAGAGCCACAGAACAAAAAGAAAAAAAAGCGAATACTGTAGGTCTTTCTGAAATATGGCAGAGCAGCTAGTCTCCTTCTCACTGTTCTCATCGAATCATGAACTCACATGCTCACTGTGTTGACGGTTCAACTTTGGTATTCTCGGTGCTGTTGGTAGGCACTCGTGCAGCTCACTAAGGAGCAGCGGAAATGCCCTGAAGCAACCTAAGAGTCTCCTCGACATTTGTTTTCTTCTGCAGCGTTGCTTGAAGAAACAAAGGATGAGGTACTCGGAGAAGAGAGCACAGTCCTCGTTACAAGGACCCTCTGGCATTGTGCAGATCCTTGACTTGGCCTGTCTACGCGGATGCTGGCAGCTCGTTGTGCGACTGGGATGTTGCCGTCAGCCACCGTCCTTCCCTTTGAAGAAAAAAAAAAAAGACTTTGGTAGTGCCAAGATTGAAAAGCAGACCGAGTGTAGTCTGGGCATATTAACGCATGAAAACCCTCGTTATATCACGTTTGCTTACCCAGACTGCAGGTGGAAGAACAACAGCAAAGATGTGGTTTGAAAGCTCCCTTTGTCTATTCTTGTTCTCACTGTTCTTAACTTTACAGGGTCCATCCACTTACGCGCCTCTTTTCCGAAGCACCCCATGCCGGCTGCCGGTGTCAATAATAGGACTTTGGTTGCACAGAAGAGCAAGTGTAAACGTTTCATCCCACCCACTCACTCTGTAGACCCAGACGATGTCAACGGTGGGCGCTCACAATGATTTTATAATCTACTATATATTATCTAATAGTGGTTGTTGTAGTACCCCTGACCATCATTGTATTGTATGCTGGGGTTGGGAGGATAGTCGCCATAGTTACCTCCGTTGTACACTGGCGGCGCATTGTTCCATCCGCCTGCTGGAATGGAGCTCATGCGCTTGCTAGCCATGGCTTTGAAATTCGGATTTGGAGGGTAATAGCCGGGCCCACCGCCAGAACCGTATTGCGAGCGGTCGTAATATCCCTCCAAGCAGTGCCTTGGGAACACGCCTTGAATACCGTTCCTCGAGTTGTTGACCCCCAGGCACCAGCCATCATCATACTCCTGTAAAATGGTCACCGACTCGCCTAGACCAATCTCAATCTCATCCGCCAGAGCTGGTGTATAAACAGCCACGACGCTATAAGTACCTATCGGCTTGGTTGGGGTCATGGCCAGGCTATCTTTGGCAAGTTTTCCGGCCTCGGAGAGTTTGGCATAAGGATTGTTGTGATTGAACTGAGCAGTCTGCTCAAGAAGTGCGATGGCCAGGTTCTTCTTTCTTCGGTGGCGGCAGAAAGCTAATCCGCCGAGGGCAAATACCAGAAGACCCCCGACTGTTCCAAGGCCGATCAGCACTTTTTCAGAGACTTTGGTCGGCACGTCAGAGCCGTCGTCAGGCGCAACAGATCTTGTTGGCTCAGCAGTGGAGCCGGTTCCCGAGGTACTGGCAAGAGTCACAGATCCTGAACTTGTCTCTGTGTCACTGTGTGTGTTCGAGGGCTTTGATGTAGAAGGAGCTGCAGAGTGCTGGGGTGGTGGTGGGTTCGTGTTGGAAGGTTTGGGCTGAGAAGGTGGTGGGGAAGGTGGTGATGCTGGTGGCGGTATTGATGGCGGGGATGAAGAAGACGATGAAGGTTTAGCGGGCGGTTCTGGACGTTGTGTCGGGGAAGGTTGAGGGTCATTGGTGGTAATGGGGTCAGACGTAGGAACAAGCGGTTTAGGACGCACTGTTGGCACAGGCTCCGTTGGTGCATGCGTCGGCGCTGGCGCTGCCAGTGCCAGATCGTGGATACCACGTTTGTGAACATGGCCAGCAGGCAGGGCCTGTATTTCAAGGATAGATAGGGATATTGCTGCAAACGCAATGATGGCTACTGCTAGCAGAGTATGGCAGTATTGGGGGGGCCTCATGACGCTTGGTCTGTGGAAGGTGAGGAAAAAACAGGCTGGACTAAGCGGAGGGATTGGGGGTGAGGAGAGAAAGAAGTATTGTCAGCGATCCTAATAACTTTTGACAAGGACAGAGTTTGGATCGGATCCCTACTAGGCCGCTGCAGGGAAATTTGTAAAAAGGTGACAAGCAATAGGCTAAGCGGCGACAGTAGTCCAGTTCTGAGATTGAGCGTTAATCGTGCAATGTACCCTTTAAACAGAGGAATCGTGGGTATCACAGCATCAGCAATGAGGATCCCGGGATAGACAGGAGAGAGAAAGGACACAAAGTGAGGAATAAAAAGGACATTGAGAGCGAAGCAGGAGAAGCAGCCAAGGGCGTCAAGAACGAGGGCTGCCTTTTCACATCAAAAATAGTTCAAACACTTACTCTAGTCGTGAAAGTGGCGAGTTGACGGCACGGCAAAAGACACGGGGTCATGCACGTAATAAAAACGAGGGGTACAGTCGCTACTGAAAATAGGAGGCCGTATATTAGAGCAAAGCAACGACGCAATGTGCAGAAGTGGAAGCGAATGCAACGATGTATGGGAATGGCAATGTGAGCGAAATGGTAACAGATCGTAATAGGGCGGGGACAAGGTTATGGGAAAGAATGTGGCCAAAAGAATAAGGGTTCCGTGAGTGAGGGGGGGTCGTCAGAAAGCCGTAAGGCGTGGGCTGGGATGGCAGACTGGGCGGCCACAGGATTGCGCGGGTGTGTGAAAAGGGAAAGGTGGCGAGGAAAAGAAAAGAAGAAACAAAGAGACTGCAGGATGCACGAGCGTTTTTAGTGCAGAACTGCACTCGCGCCTGCTCAACTCAATTAGCCAAGATCAAGGTATAGTGCAGGTGACCAAAGAGGTTGCAATCTGGTGCTGCCAGCGTTGTGGGATCACCTTGGTGGCGGATGTCGCGAGAGGCAAAGTACACCCGTCTGTCTTGTGTGCTGTAGGCACTCTTCATGCCAGTGGGGTCTGTCCGGGAGGCACACATTGTCTGCCCGATTTGGCATTTTCTAGCCCACCAGGGCCGCCGTTTTTTTTTTTTTCAAACAATGACCATGTAGTCATGCACGCGCCAGCACCTTGGGGCCACGAGGTCGCTTTTTTTTTTTTTTTTTTGATAATTAGGACCCACGGGGACGTGTGTGCTTTGTTAGTGTGATACTATTTTCTAGGGACCCTATTGCTAGAGACGTAAAGAGAGCGGGTATTTAAGAAACAGCTTTTGCTGCTAGGTTCCTTTCACAATCCTTGGCTGTGCCTGCTTTCATCTACCTTGTCGAGATTCTCATCCGCGCACTGGACGGTCGTCACTCCTTTAATCTTGCTCTCAAGCATCCTCCAGATGGTCGTCTTTGTGTTCGGCTGCTGTCCTCAGCCCTCATCGTTCCGTTGCTTCGCTTCCTTGTTCCAGCCCTCCAGCTGTTCGCTCCTAGAAGTTGCGCATGTCCAGATGTACTCAACGTCCTCAGCCTCCAGCTCACACATCCTGCAAATGACGATGTCATACAGATTTGGCCGCCAGTTCTTCATGTGTAACAGTGTCGGGAGCATGCCATATGTTTTCTTGATGCGGTGTGCACGTTTCTGACAGTCTGCAGAGCTGGTGAAAAGACTCCTTGGAGTCTGACCGTTGTGTTCATCTTCTTTGAGGCTCCATAGCTCTGATAAATGGCCTTCCGTCGCTGCTTTGTCTAAAGCCTCATTACCACTGTCTCCAGTGTGTCCTTTAATCCAAACGACTTTAACACTGCTGCCCTGTTGAATGAATGCGTGGTGGACTGCCGCCCACCAGATCGCGTACGGTGATCTTACGCGTTGACGTTCCGTGCATCAGTTCCGTTCCTCCACCAATACCTTAAACTGCGACACTACTTCCAAGTTGTCGGTGTATACTGTTGTTGGGGTGCTCCGGGGGCTGACCAAGATGGCTGCGAAAAGTCCTGCCAGCTCTGCTTTTGTCGATGACGCGAATCCTTCGACTCTGCCCGACGCCACTGTCGGGTACTGATCATCGTTGTCCTTTACCACCACACCAAATGCCATACTCACATCCTCTTTCCCTGCGTGGTCCAGTGATCCGTCTGAATACAAAACTACGCTCTCTCGACTTTGGAGTCGTGCCCTTTGCGCCATTATGAGATCCCTGGCTCGGGGTTCCGTGAGATCCCTAGACAGCCTGATCACCGACATATGGCCGGTGCCTGGCAGCACAAAGACTCAACATGGGGCTGGGGCCTTTCCCGGGACTAGCGATTTTGAATAGTACTTTCGGAAGAAATCGGGACCATGTGTGGAACTTCAGCGCCGTTGTAGTATAATGGTTAGTATATCTCGTTGTGGCCGAGACGATCCTGGTTCGATTCCAGGCAACGGCACTCCAACTCTTAGTTTTGGAGCCAGGCTGGTCACTGGTAAGATTCAGGCTTGGTTTTGTCACGAGTTGATTTCAGCGCCTTTGGCATCACTGAGAAAACGATTTACCAGTGGACGAGGAGCGCACCGGAGATACATTTTTTGGTGCCACCTTCGTTGCAGACTTAGTTCGAACCTTGGGCCAACAGAATAAAAGACTTCGATACCATGATATGCTGTTCTGATACTGGTGTACTGTATCTTTCAAAAAAAAAAAAAAAAACCAGTAATCATCATTACAACGATCAGTTGAAACAGAAGCAGACGCGCCCAACACCACTTACTTATCTCTATGACTGGCAAGCAAGCAAGGAAAAAAAAAAATAGAACCATCACCTTTAGTAAGATTAGAAAAAGCAACAGCAGTACGGCAAAGCAATCGGTACATCAATGGAGTTGGGAGACTTATCTTCCGTTGCGGATTGTCCATATAAAAGAATGAGGCGCTTCACTAACCCTTTTCGACCTTCGTTAGTCACCCTTCATCCTTGGCGAAGACAGCGGTCCGATCACATCCACCTCAACTTTCTAATGCCCCTGACCCCTTCCGTGGCCAATATGAGCGACGGACCGGAAACAGACGCGTCTCGTCATCAGCCATTGGGGCGACGGCCACTTAATGATCGCCCGGCTCAGTTCTGCCATTTAGGTCCTTTGGATCACGAAGTTGATAGATCCTCTGCATCCCATCTTGACAGCAGTGGCTCAGATTCAACTGTCTCCGAAAGAAGCGATAGTAGCACCAACCTCGAGTGCGGCAATGGTGGGGATCTCCCAAGTACTATGAAAGATGACCATATTACGTCCATCAAGACGGCCAATGAAATGGCAAGAGTTATAGCGCCTAGGTCTCTTTGTTCGCTCCTGGACGCATTTGAACCACCTTCGAAACCAGTATTGGAAGTTGCACCGTCTGTAACAAGTTTTTCTTTGCGCGAGCGACAGGCGACCTTGATGTTGAGAGAGACGACGGCCGCCTCTCCCACAGGTTCAAAATACTATCCAGAGAGTACTTCCGGACAGCAAGTGGACCATGCTGATGATGAAAGAAATGAACAGTTTATACGACCCGCGTTCTTTCCCCTCAGCTGGAAGCCACTGGCCACTTTGCTTGTTGCTCCTCCCACTCCGACCACGCTCTCATTCTCCACCAATACCTCCTCATCTCCAAGCTGCCTTCCTGCCTCTACTCCTAGAGCAACCCCGTGGTCTGCCTCAGCTACGGATTATGATCAAGAATACGGGGCTGCATCCTCTCGCGCTTTTCCTGCCGCGGCTGCCACAAGGCGCGGGGTGGCGCACTCTTCGCGGGACTACCTTGACAGCAACTGGTCGACGGCAACTGCGGATCATCTAACGAATCCTCAGCAGTCCCTTGGAACCTTCGACCCTTCCTCTGTGAGCGCCAATGTGACAGCCCTGCCATCGTTTCTTACGAACTCTTGCCTACAGTACGACTCATATTCAAATATCAACGTGCGATCTCCATTGAGATCGTCGAAAGCTGCCAGTTCATATGTAGGCCTCCAAAGGGACCAAGTTGGCCAAAACTCTTATGAAGCCTCAGCACAATGGAACATCAGTGGTCATGGTAGTCAAACCACGAATTCATTTGGACGATGGCCTGCATCTTCAATCCCGCTGAGCGTCGATAGGGAATCGATATCATCTCTTCCCGACCCACCTGTAGTTGAAGGGGAAGTCAGTGGACCCTTGTTAAGTACACTAAAGCTGCCTGCGGAAAGGCAGACCTTGTTCCTGCAAACCGATCAAGACGCAGCAACCAGGGAACACTACGGTGGTCATAGCCAGGACCGACTACATGAGCAATCACGGAGGCCACTTGCAGCGAAGCGATCGAGCCGACGCGAGTCGAACAAGCATGAGCTACATTCTATGGATCCTGATCCCAAGTTTTGCCACAACTGCAAGACCAGTGCAACTCCAAGCTGGCGGCGATGTCCTCAAGGTCGCATCCTATTATGCAACGCGTGTGGTTTATAGTAAGTTCCTTTCTTTTGCTTCTGCTTTTGCGTCTTTTGAAGTTGAAGCCTTGAATCATTCACGCTAATATTCGTTTTTTTTAAAATAGCCAAAAGCTTCATAACAAGCCTCGTCCTTTCTTCAGGACTCGCGACGGAACCATCAAAATCCATCGAACGCTACCGGATCATGAGCCCTGTGCCTGTTGCGGGACCGTCAAAACGCCTGTATGGAAGAAGAGTACTGACAACGAGCCTATTTGTCTTGGATGCAGCCTGCTTACAAAGCACGCAGCGTACTCACCAGAGGACCCGTCGTTCTACGCATCCATTGGCCCTGGCTCACCTTCACTACAATCTGTTCCTGCATTTCCCTTATCAGACACGACAGGAGAATCTGCCCAATGTTGTCATCAGAATGATCATGTCGGCCAGCAGCGCAAGCACCAGCCGAGTTCATCAGTCGGCAAGTTGCGTTCGAGGTTTGAGACAAGGGGAGGGAGAAAGGGATTTGGCAGTAAGAAGCCGTCGGCGATGGCCAATAGAAAGAAGAAAGAAGAGCCCTACAGGCTGGCAAGTGACGCGAATGCGGCGCACAGTCAACACTACGCGGCTGAAACACAGAAGGGAGCTTTCACTCTAGAGCCCTACCGTAACAGGGGTCAAAATGGATGGTACCACACGCAGAAGCAGTATCAACAACAATACCAGTACCATTCCAATTTCGCAGAACAACAGGGGCATTTTGACTATGGCGTCGATGGACGTCAACATGCAAACTACTCTGACCTGTCGCGATTCCAGCAGACGCCACATTATTACCAGTATGGAAACATGCAGCAGGAATTCCAGCTGCAATACCAAGATCACACTGCTCACGCTAGGCCCACGCCTTCTTGTATCCCAGCCTTATCTAGCGTATATCCTCCGCCTGGCAGCATCGGCCAACCTAAACCAGCCGTAATCTTCCCGTGGTCAACTCCATACAGTTTTGAAGCTATCAGTGATGCCGCGCCAGGTTTGGAAGCTGACACTCCATCTGCCAACGCGAAGGGGTCAGTGAAGTTGTCAGTACTCAACGATGACAACACTGGTGGCAGTGGATGCGTATGGGACACTATTGAGGAGATGGACGGAGCGGCCGAGGAATAGGACACCACTTACAGGTGGCAGAGTAGTAACCAGAAAGGTCTTTATCAAGTTGATCGCAACTCCATGTAGTCCCGCTGTTCTACTCTCTCCCTCTATTTTGGTATAGTGCGTTGGATCATGCTGGCTGTGTTCCAACGTAACAGAAATGAGTTTCCTTGACGCTCTGTACTCGGATGGTCGAGCAAAGGGCAAAAACTCAACTTCGGCCCAGGATGTGGTAGATAAGTCGCGTAACGAAAGGCGACAGGACTTGTTCCTCTTGCTGATAAAACGACTGTAGATGGTAGCATTAAAGTTGAATTATGCGTCAATCAGGGCAGCTTTTGCTCTCACTCTCTTCTGTCAACTCTGTACAAGCTGAGCGCGACTCGAGTCTCTTACCATAATCAAGGACATGGCAAATGAAAATGTCATGACTTCCCAGTGTTTTACGCCCTTGACCCAATTCTTTTGATAAAGGATCTTGTACAAGCTGGTCGCAGCCTTGGGAATGACATACATGGCCAGCTCTGCGCGACGGCTCTCTTGCTCGATGAAGATAGACACGCTGGCACAGACAAGACCAAAGAGCCAGTAGAGATACTTGCTGTTTCCAAGATGCAGTCCGGCATTTAGGAGATTACGGTGAGTACAGATTTGAGTCTGATAGCCTGCTACGAACACAGCCAAGAAAACAGAGGAGCGGAGGGTATTGAACGTCGTCTTAGACATCACTTTGGCAGGACTAGTTTTTTTTTTTTTTTTTTTTTTTGAGGGGTGGAGGGTCAAAAGGTCAGCAATGCATTTGTTGTCGATAAAAGCAAAACACCGTCAAGGTCCAGCGAGATACCTACTTCTTGAGGAGTCGCTTCATTCTGAGAAGTACCAATGGAACAAAATTCAGTGTCGCGTAAACGGGGAAAATCTCCTTAGTGACCTGTACAAATCGCTCCAGGTTATTCTGCCTGCATGAGTCGATCCATGGATGAAGGACCTCGCATGGGATCGGGTTTACAGTCTCTGACATTGATGACACGGCCCGAAGTGCCAGCTCTGTAGGTCTATGCCTATCCACCAGTTCCCTAATTTGTTTCACGTCCACAGGGAACCCTCGCACAGTGGCGCGATTCAAGGCAAGCGCCTCGGCAGGCACACGCGCGGTTTTGACCATAAATCCCAGAAACTCCTTTGGAATGGTATCTGGATACATCTGAAAAAAAAATAATAATGCGCCAGCGTTAGTGGTTTATTGACTTTTCAATGGATGTTGAAGTCGTCCCTGGCGAGCCCAACTTGCAACTGCGATGTCTCGAGTTAACCATTTTGCCCACAAGACTTACTGTATATGCGTACATGATCTGGGCAGATCCGATGGCGAACATCAGTGCATCACCGTGGCGAAATGAGAATTGGCCCCGATATTTTCCAGCATTGTAAACTCCCTGCATGGACCTAAGTTGAAGTCATAGGTGGGATGGTGCTGTATGAGTGGAGTTTCAATACCAGAGATGTCACGAATCTACGGCGGCGCATTATAGAGGATATCGATGTCGTTTTTCTTTCTACTTCTCTTTAAATCCTTTTGCACAGTCTTATTCAACTTACCGGATGAACATTTGTTGGGCAAATGTCACTCTTCGCTCGTGGCTCTCGATAAGGATCGCGAGACCAGCTATGGCGCCTATGACCATTGTCAATTGATGTCGTTTAATCAACAGCCATCTCGTACTTCATTACTAAGTAATGCTATATTTGTTAATAGCCTTTACCTGCGATGGCACCGTTAATTCTGTCATCAACGCCCCGGTACAGCTTCAATCCATTGTTAACCAATTTCCACAAAAAAGAGA